CCCAGCCACACAGGGGCTTGCAGGAGGGTCTTCCCAGGCTCAGAGTCTCCTCACAGGCAGCTCCTCTCTTTTCCTGCCCTGGCAGGGCTCCAAGGAGGAAAGGAGGGAGAAGGACACAGTGCAGCACTCTTGGTGCAGCCTCTCCTGCTACTTCTACAGGGCTCTGCCAGGGGCTCTAGGAGGGGCGGCCATGGGGAGGTCCTTTCCCTGGTCTATCTCCTTTGTTTTCCTCCCCAGGAAAACTGTTCCCCTCTTTTAACCAAGCCTCTCAGCCAAGCCCAGGCCAGGACTCTCCCCGAGCTTTTGCTAACGTCTCTCCTTCAAACCCTGCTGGGATTACATCACCCCTCCTGCTGCCAAGAGCAGCTTCACTCGCCCTCAGGGCAAATGGTGCCCCTGCTGGGACAAACTCTGTCTCTTCATGCTTTCCCTCTGCAGGACAGCCTTTCCTTTTCCTTCAAGTGAGTCCATTTTTAATGCTGCTATATATGTTTTCAAAAGCAGTAATTTCCCCTATATTCTTTTCTCCTTTATTTTAAGTGATGGTGTTCTCAGTAGGTTTATCTCCTAGGGAAGTGCAGTCTTACTTTCATAGGCAGACAAGGTTCCTTGGGTGAATTTGATATCTTTTATTAGACCAACCCAAATGGTTGGAGAATAGTTACTAAGCAAGCTTTCGAGTTCAAAAAACCTTCGTCAGGCTAAGGAGGTTTCAGCAGTTGGTGCGTGCTCTTCCTGGATGGAATGAAAAGTAAAGAAGCCAGGGGCTGGGCTGGGCTGGGGGGAGCCAGAGCCATCAGTGGTAAGATGCAGAAGGGAACCTAATGGGTAAAGGACTGCCTGGCTTTGTGACTTTGTAACAGTGAACTTTCTTTTCTGAGAATAAACTTTAAACTATGTCCAGTCTGTAGAATGGATATATAAGCTTGCCTTCAGAATAGACAGATATGGGGTCAAACCTTTTGCACAGCAGCAAGCATAGTTGTTTTTGGTGGGGTTCATAGAACGGAGTTCATCTACTAAGTGCTAAGAGCCTTTGTAGAAATCTGCAAAGCTTAGGGTGACTCTTAAAAGTTTTGTTTTAGTCTGGTGTTTGGAGAGGGCCCTGTCTCATTTAGGATTTCTGGTGACTTTGGTCTCATTAAAAGAGGTTTTCTCTTACTCAAAGAGCTGGTGTGAGAAATTATTTTGCTGGATGGGCTTTTGTCATAATCCAAATTGAGACTAGTTTGAATCCGGTAAAATGGAAGCATTTCCCCAGATCTCTCTGAATCAAATTCCAACTGACCTTTTATTGACATTTGAAAAAGTTTGGATACTTGGCTTTGCCTCATTTTGTTTCATGTTAATCACCTCTGCCATTCCTAATTCCAGCTGGGACAGGAAGCAGATGCACTGAGTACTACAAAAAAACCCAGTTATTATCATGGTATTTCCATTGCAAGCAGAAAGCAGCAAGCACTAAAAATCTAAAGAGAGAGTCCATCATCCAGACATGTCAGTTCACTTTTGCAGGCTTAGGAGGTTTAGACAGTAATCCAAACTTGAGGGCGTTCATCTGAACCTTTTGGATTCTGGCCATTATCAAATAGGATTAGAAGAGGGAAACAATTCAGCCCAGAATAAAATGGTGGGTGGCAGCCTTATGACTAACCCCTATCTGAGCTGGGCCAGATTCCTTGAGTCATTACCCTAGAGAATTATGTGCCTCAGAGTGCCTGGGATGGTGTTTATACTCAAATGCCCAGAGCCTCTTGGCAAGGTTTATAAGAAAAAAAATAAGCTACTGCCTCTATATACTACGTGTTTGATGTAACTGGAGATCTTTGATCAAGAAGCACTCACTGTCCCTTGATCTGGATTAACAGTGAAAAGAAAGAACAGGCCACTTATTTATGGTCTGTGTTTAGAAATTTCATAGTTCATCTGCCTGTACTGTCTTTTGCCTTTGTCTATCGAAGCTTCATCTAAAAACAAAGTTTTAAATGGCCTTGAGAATTTTTGTGTGCATCCATGATGTCATGTTACATTCTGTAAAGACACTTTCCTCAGTGACATAGCATCACAAACACAGAAGATTGCTTAGGTACACAATGAAATGTGTTGCTTCAAACTCATAGACAACTTTGGCAAAGACTCTGCAAGTCTGTGAAATCTGCTGTAAAAGCTAGCAGGGCTGGAGTTACATGCACCTAACTGTACAAGAGAGCACACGGTAACAGGATATTTATAGATGGTTGCATTTATGGCTGCTTGGAAAAGGCTCCCAGTCAGTGAAGAAAGAGATCAAGCATACTCATCACAGCTCTGGCAAAGAGAAGTTTCCTCTCCACAGCTCTTCTTTCCATTCTGAAGGAAACTTGCTTTCAGATAAATTCCTGTTACATCTATCAGCTTAAACTCTCTATTAGGCTATAATAGAGAGGCTATTGAATATGTTAGGCTATTGAACAAATTAAATAGCCTCTATTAGGCTATTAAATATGTTAATACTTTTTTCCATTCTTTCTAAGTCCTCAAGACAAATTCTCTTTTGGTCCAACTTATCTGAATTCAATATAGTAGCATTGGTGGTAAATATGCCCTTTGGTTTTATACTACTGTATTTTATTATTTGAATGTTGCTCTTGTACTTGGCACTATACATGACCAGATTATAACAGAAGTGACTGTCCAGGAGAGTTTACATTAGAAGAGAGACACAACAAGACATGTAGAGAGAGAGATTATTTGACCAGATGAACACATATCCTAGTACAATTTACATCAGGAATGGACAGATGTGCAGCTATCCCAAGGGAGTTTACATAGTAGACAGCTATTACGGCATCTCACTACTAGATAGCGGGATAGCAGGTAACAGAATGCTTGCCTGTTGCACAGGCAGAAGAAATCTAAATTGATGTAAATTATACTGGTGTCATCCTACCCCAGAT